CACTGGGTCGGAGATGACAAACATTCTCTTGGCTGAATTGCCACTCTGCTTCCTCAAAGGGCAGAACCTGACTCCGGGGCTTGTCACTCAGGGCTCAGCCTTTCAAGTTAGCAAAGGACATTCCAGGTCCGTTTTGGCCACCATGTCATCTAAATATGTTCTGAGTGACCTTACTATAAACAGTGTCGCTGTTTCTGGCTACCTGTAGGAATCTGACATACCCGCGGTGCAAACGAGTCTTTTGGCACTGCAGGGCATTGGATGCACAAACCCTCATGGATCGACAATAGCAATAATGCTAGTGTCCCCACCATTTGGAACAGGCTGGATAAATCGGGGACAATGCCGGAGAGGGATACCTGGGAGGTGGTGCTAAGACAGAGGAGGATGTGAAAATAATATAAAATAATACTGATTGTCAACTGTAACTAAAGAATAAAATTACAAAAAAGAAAATTAAAAAAATTAAAAAATATATAGAAATTATTTCAAAGGAGAAAACAAGACAGAGGAAGATATTTCTCAGGTTGGAGATGTGAAGGCCAGAAGGTGACTTCATATCCATGTTCGAGGTTATTTAATAAGTTATTTAGAATGCCACTCGCACTTCCTAAGGGGACTGAACGGGGACTGAATTCATAGTTCTGTTCTGTAACAATAATTTATTGAAACACAGCTGAGGAAGCAGAGCCCAGTGCCTGTAGTTGCCCTGCCACGGCAAACCCTGGCTTTCTGGATTACAGGCCTATCAATGGGCATTTCTGTTTAGTGGCCGCAGGACCCTCTTGTCACAAAGTGTCCCCAAACCAGACATCAGCCTCTGGAAGCTTGCCTTGTTAACACAAATATAAAGAGACACAGGAACAGCATGTACTTATCACAAACTCCTTGAACACGTGGGTGGAATGTCACTTACATAATCTGGCCATCTGACACAAAACCTGGCTTTCTTAAACCAGGAGGAGCTCAAGGTCTCTGCTAAAGAGGACCCTTTCCATTTTACGCCGGGGACGACGCTCGCAGCATGAGCGATGCCGCCAGTTATCAGCATTTCAGCAGATTGTGCCAGTGTTGACACTGGTTCTTGGCTGAATTGTGCGGGAGTGTGCGTCTGAAACAATGACGCAGCTGTCCCCATCCCCGGCAATCAGGATGTAAAACTGGTGTTCGGCTGACTCTGGCATGTGATTGCTTCTGCATGTGTTTACGCTTTTGTTTGCCAGGCTTTCTGAGTGTTTGCTATGATTCTACAATCAGAACATGCATTTAGCTTAAAATGGAACCCAGATCCATATTAATAGCACCCACGGTGACCGCAGACCTCCATGCTGCAAGATCTTTGGTGCCTGGCCCAGCACGGATGCTTGTGTTCGCCGTGTGTGTCAGAGATGCTTCTCTGACCTGCTGTGAAGGCAGTCTGGTTAAAACAGCATCAGGGCTGGAAGAGCAGGGTCAGCACAGGTGCACTGGAAGTGCTGACCCTTTGCCGAGTAGCGAGGGATCCAGGTCCGTCCCACACAGAATGCTGCCACGAGTCCTATCTGTGGCGAGTGTCGGCATCCATCTTTTCACCACTCCTTCAGGCGGGTGACCTGTGCCACTGAGGAGGGAGTATGTGCTCGGGTTTTAGACTGTTCCTTTCCCTCAAGTATTTTAGCTCTTGGCTTTTTGTTACCAGATTAACCTGTTAATAATAGTGTTGGTGAAGGGGGAGGGACCAGTTCCTTATTAGGTCAGGGCAAGTCTGAAAAAATATACTTTGGAAAACTGTTTGACGTAGCCATTAAAGCGGAACATATGCACATCCTGTGACCCAGAAATTTCGCTTCTAAATACCGATACCCAGCAGAGATGTGTGCATATATATTCACCAAAAGACACGCGCTAGAAGGTTCATGGTGGCAGCTGCCCAATGCCGTCAACAGTGGAATGGATAGATGAGTTATGTGTGGACCGACAGTGGCACACCATACAACAGTGAGATCGAACGGACTCTGACTTTATCCACGAACTATATATAACACATGGGCTACTAGTGTTCTATCTCGGTGAAACAAACAACCGCCAGCTACAAACTTAGGGCTGAAAATATAAAACAGCTCGCAGGTGAGTAGGTCCTACGTCTGGGCCCGAAGTAGCTGGGTTCTCTGCTGGCGGCCTCACAGGCTGAAGGTGTAGGAGGCTGGAGCTTAGGATCCCATCAAAGTAAGAAACATCTAAACCTATACAGAAGTGTTATGAGGTTATTTGAGCTGAACTGACAATGGTTGGGAAGCAAAATCTCAATGGATTGAGAAAATACTCTGGAGAACGGCAGTTTTACAGCTTATTTTATACACCAGAATCCAAGAGGGGGAGACTTGGCGGGGGGGTTGCTACATGAAATCCACTGGTAGTAGATTAGGGAGGTGGGAGAAAGCAAAGTGAGGAAATCTCTGAGACTGGACATGGAGTAAAATGGAGAGACAAATGCTAACTTTACATTGGTGGGTAAAGGAGAATTCACAACATTCGCAGCACACAGAGATGGTATTGTGGGAACACGATAACAAGGAGCGGTTCTGTGTCTGGTGCTCACACGGCAGGTGTACCCTGAGGGTCTAAAAGAGGAGATTACTCTGACCCCCCGAGCTATGTTACCTGAGATGCAAAAAGACAACAGACAGGCTTACTTTAAACACACACTGACTTTTGTGAAGGAAGAAGTTACCGGCCCAAGACGTGACTCCGGCCATGACGTGCTTTCAGTCAGGAGTTTTTATGTACAGACCATCCTACGTGGTTACTCCAGGTCTCTGAGTTTGTAATGCCCGCCATGCAGGGCTCCCCTGAGCTTGCCAGGTTCAGTGTGTGGCAGAGCGCTGGGGCTTCCTGTGGCTGGAGGTCGGCTCTCATTTCCCTGCTGGCCATGAGCCGTGGCCGATCTCCACTCCTGGAGGCTGGCGGCATCTCTTGCCACATGGACCCCACTGTCTTTGGAGTCAACAGTGGAGAACTTCCTGTGTGTCTATCCCTCTCATACCTCAGATCTCTTCCTCCAGGAAGAGCCCAGTCCCTTTTAAGGGCTCATGTGATCAGAACCATTGAGAACAATCTCACTAAAAACTGATTTGAGCCTTAATTACATCCGCAAAACGCCTTTACAGCAGCACCTAGATTAATGTTCAGTTGACTAACTGCAAGAAGGACTAGGGAGGCTGATGAAATCTTGGGGGCTGTCTTAGAACACCACCTACCATGCACAACGTGCGGATGAATCGCACAGTCGACGGTGAACAAAAGAAGTCAGACACGAAGGTGCATGTAATGTCCAATTCCCTTTGTATGAGACACAGGAACAGGAAGCACTGACCTTTGGTGTTAGAAGTCAAAGAGTGGTTACTCTTTTTTTATTTTTATTTTTTTATTCTTACCTGAGGACATTTTTTCATTGCTTCTGGAGAGAGAAAAGGAAGCATGGGTGGGGGTGGGGACAGAGAGAGAGATGGAGGGAGAGACATCAGTTGGTTACCTTCTCACAGGCAGCCACGACCAGGATCCAGCCAGCAACCTGGGTATGTGCTCTGCCTTGGCATTGAACCTGCAACCTTTTGGTCTAGAGGGCACACTCTCCAACCAACTGAGACACACCAGCCAGGGCGTGGTTACTCTTGAGTACATGGTAACTCGAAGAGGAAAGGAGGGTGGTCTGAGGGGCTGATAATGTTTTTGTTTCTTGGTCTTTGTCCTGGTTACATGGGCGTGTTCAGCTTGTGAAAACTCAGCAAGATGTGCATTTTTAGAATAATCGGGATTTATTACTTTAAAATGAATTTTTAAAGGAAGTATGCACCCCCAAGACAACTATCAGAGTGGATCCCTAATGAGGGTGGAGAATAAGGAGGAAAAGAAAAGAAGAAATGGCACCTTGCCTGGAGGGATGATGATGGCACCTCATGAGCTCTGTGGGGGAGGGCCAACGAGGTCAGAAAGTGGAACTCTGTCAACTTGGACCTGTGCGTGGGACCTGCCACATGATTTGTGTGGCCCAGTGCAAAGTGAAGTGCATGGCCTCCTTGTTCAAAACTTACTATGAATTGGAAGACGGCATGAGGGGAACACTAAGCCAAGAGTGGGGGTTGAGAGTCCGCACTGGTCCCACTCTGGGGAAGCCAGCCCTGCCTGCAGGCATGGGAGAAACAGCCACCTCTCTGATTCCAAAGACTTCTTGGTCGGTGAGCTAGTCTGGGCAACTATAGCTGTGATCCTTCCCTCTGTAAAATAGGTCGGCCAGAGGCGAGGAGGTGCTAATTAATTTATATATGCAACAGCAAGCACTTTCTGATGTGTAAGAAACCAAGTATCAGGTTTATTATAATAATGGGCCATCTAAATATTTATGTGTTATTTCCTTAACCAGTTAAAAAGCATACCTGTGAGCTCACGGGTAATATTTATTTATGCATAAACTCTTCATAGGTAGCACAGTGTCCATGTCCACCTTGTGAATTCACACAAATTGTAAGTTATGGGTGGAACACTAATAATCATGAGATCTGACCATGCGTTTTTGGTCTTTCCAGTTCAAAAAGGAAACTATTAATCGCCAAGGCCAGAGCACTGGAGTCTGGGCACTTCCCCACCGAAGTTCTTTTTCTTGCCGCTGTTGGAGTTTCGGGCAAGTTGAATCCCGGACCTGACTCTAGATCCTCCCCAGGGGCTGGAAAGCCCTGGGAAGGGGCGCCCTAGAATCATCCAGCTAGGGCTCTGTGGCGAACGCCGCGGGCACGTGACTCCCCGGGCGCCTGGAGACTGCGGTGTGAGGATGACAGGGCTGTCGCTTGGCAAGCAGGGTGGGGTGTGGGAAGAAAGGGGAGCGCATTAAGAGGTTAGGATTTCTGAAGAGGCACGACTCGGCATTGTATTTCTATGTTTATTTTCCCGGGTGTGCACTCTTGAAGCACAACCCTTTGTAGGCTTAGTGACTTAAGCTTTGGGGACTGTGGTACTCGAAGCCGGCCAGCTGCCTCACCTAAGATTTACGGTGGTTCCTGGGATGAGACAAGCTCCCAGTGTCTCGGTGACAACAAGGTCTTTGACGAACAGCCGAGAGCTGCAGTTAGGGAGGGACAGGAGGCCTGTGGCAGGGGCCGCGAGCCCCTGATTTTCCTCTTCGAAGGAGTTAGGCGCCTGGGGCCATCAGCATGCAGGAGCCAAGCGCGCCGTCCTTGAAGGGCTGCCCAGCTGACCTTGCTCCGCATTCTCCGGAGAAATCTCCGGGAGAGCGTGAGGACGCGGCCACGGCGGTGACTCAGTGCCCAGCGCGCCGCATGCAAATGTTCTCCTCCAGCAAGTCCAGCTCTGCAGCCGCGGCTTCCCTTTCCTGCCCCCTTTTTAAATTCCACAATTCAAACCCGGCGTTTTCCGCTCCACCCCTCCCCCTCTCCACCGCCCGCTAGTCGTTAGCCAGACCGTCCGGGTGTTTTGTTCCCCACCTCCCATCCGCAGAACCGAAGGCCAACCTTCGTGCTCCTTCGCTGCGGGCCCGGGATCGGACGTGGCCCGTGGGCGCAGGGCACAGCGCGGGGCGACCGCGAGCGGGAGCCCGACCGAAGGGGGCGGTGCGCGGCGCTTTTGGGCGCACCCGCGGACGGCGCTCAGGCCCCGCTCCCCATTGGCCGCCACCTCCGCGGGAGGGGCCGCCCGGCGCTTGGGGCACCTGGCGTTGCCCCTCCGCGGGGAAATCGGCGGATGCCGGGCACTGGTGCCTGAGGTGAAGGCATTCGGAAGGAAGGCCCGGGCCGCAGGCGAGCTCCCTGCATTCAGCCCTCCCCTGCTCGCGGCCCCGGCGCCGGCGACGCTCGGATGCCCCCTACGCCTGCCGCGCCAGCCGGAAACTTTGCCCCAAGAAGTCCCCATCCTTCTGACCGCGCCAAGAGGCGCCTAGTCGGCCGTGTGCCCCGCGGGGCCCCGGAGCCCCGCGCGTGATTGCGGGGACCCCTGGCGCCTGCCGCGCCCCGCCGCGCGCAAGCTGCTGCAAGAATGCGCTACTCGGACCCCTCTGCGAACAGGGATTTGTTGGGGAACCGAACTTTGCTCTTCATCTTCATCTGCGCCTTTGCCTTGGTGACTTTGCTGCAACAGATCTTGTATGGCAGGAACTACATTAAGAGGTGAGAAAGTCCAAGTGCGGGTGGGAGTGAGCGGAGCTTGTGGGCGAGCCCCAGGTGGCGTCTGCAGCGACCACCCGGGCGTCCCCGGGGTGAGTGAGCGTGGGGTCTGCCCTTAGCCCCGAGCACCACCGCGTTAGGTTTAGGTCACGGAAGTGCTCCGAAGCGTATCTCTCCTCCCAGCGAGAGAAGGGAGCGCCTGCCCAGCGCTGGCCGGAGGAGCCCAACAACTTTGTTGTGTTGTGAAAAATGGGGGTTGGTTTGGAATGCTGAGTGGCCAAGCTGACGATGAATCCATTGAATGTCCAGAACGGCCACAGGGGCCAGATTGGTGTCCCCCAAATCTGCACTGCCGTGGTCATTGGGTTGGAGGTGGGGCTCCCGGGAGTGGGAGGCTCAAACCAGATCCTTGTGAGCACAGAACTTGTGGGGGCCCTTGGGAGAAAAAGCATATCCCTCCCTCCCCCAGGAACGTCGGGTTAGGTGGGGGTGATGGTAGGCCGAGGCGTATCGACAGGGAGCGTGAACTTACAAACCTCTGGACCTGTGAAACTCACAACCTGATCTTCGGAAACGGATGGTCCTTTCTCATCCCTTCGCGGAAGGTCAGAGCTGCAGCCGGAGTTAACCTTCCCTTTGTTGGGCTCTGCTCCAACCCCACTCGGAAACTCGGGCCCAGACTCAGCCCCTTCTGCCCGCTCTGCTGGCTGAGGAGAAGCGCTTCGGGTTACCCCGCCTGGTTTCAGGGCCTGGGAAGAGCGCGGCCGTAGGATAGGATCCACCTTTATCAGAACCTCTTTTGCCAAGAGGCCACCTCTCCTTTCTCCTGGAGGTTTTTTCTTTGCTGCCAGTGTCTCGTTATTCTCACTGCCCCTCCCCCGGGCCGATAGAAAACAAAATGCCTCTCTAGCTATATGAACATCTCATCTCTAAACTTCCAAATAATAACACAGTTGTTCTGTTTTCATCCTTTGGGTTCCACGTCGGTCATTGGTGCTCCCTCCAAGCCCCGAAATCTGGGCTGCTCGTGGGGACAGGAGAGTGAGGTTTGCTGCTGGGTCCGGCACTCTCAGTAGGAAAGCCAGTAGGCTGGCTCCCCCTTCCATGTCCCAGGGCTGGGGAATATGAGGCCCTTCGTCCTGAACATTTGCTTCCAGACAGCCCCTGCTCCGGACTATCCTACAGCGTTCTTCCCTGGTGGAAGGCAGCTGATGAGCATGGTGCTGGTGGCTTTAAAGGGCATTTTCAGAGAATCTCCTGGCTTGCTGGAGCCCATTGGGCCTGCCTCCTCTTTTGGTTACTGCGCCCCTCCCCCATATCCCTATGCAAGGATAGCTGGGCCCCAAAGGGCCTGCTGAAGCCCCCTCTTGCTGCACTTGTTCCTCAGCGTGGTGGCTCTGGGTTCCTGCCCCTGTTGGCACCTACCCAGAACAGCAGGGACTGCAGGGATCCCTGCTGCCTCGTCAAAAGTGGGAGAATATCAGTGGCTGCAGCTGATGCCAGCTCAGCCTCTGCAAGCCCCCTCCCACCCCCAGGGTCCTGGGTGGATGGGCTAGCTCCCTGGAGTTCAGCAGGCATACCAGTTGCTCCCCATCCTCCCTCACAGAGACCTGGGACCCTAAATCTCAGATGCCACCTTGCCCAGGCCTTACTTACTCCAGGGACTTGGTTAATCAAGCAAGCAAAATTTGTATGTTCCTGATTCTGGAAAGGTGCCCGAATGATGTGGTCCTGATGTTCAGAGGGATTGAATTGTTTAGGGAAGCAGAATGGCCACAAATGAGATAGTTGTGAAGTAAATATTAAAATATTTGGGGAGGGAGGTACCACTGGGCTGAAGTAGTTAGGGAAGTCTTCCTGGAGGAGGTGGAAGCTGAGTGGGTCCTTGAAGGAGGATAAGCTTTGGGTAGGTAGAGGGGAAGGGCACAGCCACAACTAAAGCAGGCAGCAGTGAAGGTGCAGAGGTTGGCACCGCCTCCTCTCTCCTCTCCCAGGTCTGACCGGGCCCACACTACAGCACTGGGGCTAACCATTGGTTAGTTCTTCGTGGAGCTGCCCTGCCCCTGAACCGGGTTCTTCTTCTAACTTCTTAAGTTGGATGTTTATCTCCTTAATTTCTAGTCTTTATTATTTTCTAATGTAAACTTTTAAGGTTATACAGTTTCCTCTAAGTACTTGTCTAGTTATATCCCTTAAGTTTTGGGATGATGATGATGATGATGATGATGATAACTCAAAACTGTCTTGCATTACATGTGCCAGGTCTGGTTCAAGTGCTTTGTGTATCACCATACCGAAGTCTAGCAATAGATGCTATTACTGTTTTCATTTTATAGATGAGGAAACTAGGCACAGTGAGGTTAAGTAATTGTTCAAGGTCATACACATAATAACTACCAGAGGTACTTTCATCATTTTGAATTCCAAATATTTTATGTTTTCTATTATCGTTTTTTCACCCACAAACTTAGAAATGTTCTAAAATTTCCAAATACTCGTTTTTAACTTATCTTTAAAATTTTGAACTCAAATGCATTCTTGTGGGAACACATGGTATTTATGATGCTGATTCCTTGAAATTTGTTGAGATTTGCTTTGTGGTCTAGTATGTGGTCGATTTGTCAAGTACTCTGTGTGCGCTTGAAAAAATGTGAATCTCTCATTATTAAGTGCAGTATTCTTATATGTCTGTTCAATCAAGTGGTTTTGTACTTTTCAGTCTTTTGTATTCTTACTGATATTTTTTTGTTCTACTTGATCTATCAATTTCTAAGATGTGTGATGAACTCTTCCTCCGTGATAGGTGATTTATCAGTTTCTCCTTATCAACTTTTACTTTATGCCTATTGGAGTGATATTATTAGAAACATACTAATTTAGCTATATTGTCTTCCTAATGAACTGAATCTTTTATTGTAATGTAGTGACTTTTTTTATTTCTAGTAATACTTTGAGCCTTAACGTGCATTTTGTCTAATATAGCGAGACAGCTTCCATTTGGTTAATACTTGCTTGTTACAGTAATATAATGGCCATTACAGGGGACACATGAATTACTGGGATTGGCAGATGCCCCTGAGGCAGCTACCGGCTTTAAAACTCATCTACTATTTCTTCCCTTGCCAGATTATTCATCCATTTAAAGAGGCATTTTTACACATTTTAATCATTATTTTAGTGTTTTTTAGTGGGAGATGTTGCAGAGTGGTTCCCTGGAAAGCAGACTGTCAGCCAGAGATTAGAGTGCGGCATGTTGAGTAAGGTGTGTTCTTGGGATCCACGCGTGAAGACAGGAGACCGAGCCGAGGGAAGAACAGCTGTGGTGCAGTCCCAGAGAAGGCCCTAGTCGGCTCTGGCCAGGTGGTTCAGTTGGTTGGAGCGTCATCCTGCCACCGAAAGGTTGCGGGTTTGATCCCCAGTCAGGGCCCATACTAGGTCGTGGGTTCGATCCCCGGTCTGGGTGCATATGGGAAGTGGCAACCAGTCAATGTTTCAACCTCTCTCTCCTGCTTCCTCTCTCTCTCTAAAATCATGGGTGAGGATTAAAACAAAGTAAATGCCCTGGCCACCCCCGCAGGGAGCCCTAGAGAGTTGCCCAGCGGCGAGGAGGCTGGCCTTCCTGCCTCTGTGTGGAGTGCTCGGTCATTAGGTGTGGGTCGCCTTGGAAGAGGAAGTCATCTTGGTCGAGTTGACTCTCCTCGCAGGAGACAGCTCCCAGAGGGGCCAAGAGCCAGCCGGGGCTGCCAGCTTCCGGCACCCCCAGCAGGTGAGGGCACCCCCAGCAGGTGAGGAAGAAATCCTTCATCCCTAAAGGGGCGTGTTCTGAAAGGGCGCCGGTCACAGAGGGTGTTCTCCCTTGCCGGAAATGGAAGTCTTTGAATGTCTCCGTCTCCTCCCCCTCCCCAAACAGGTCTCACCCTCTCCCATTGATTAGCCTGTGCCTTCAGCCCCACTCTTTTTCAAAAAATATTTTTATTTATTGTTTTTTAAAATTCTCGCCCAAGGATATTTTTTCTTTGTTGATTTGAGAGAGAGAGTAAGGGGGGAAAGGGGAAGGGGGAAGAGACAAGGGGGAAAAGAGAGAGAGAAAGGGAGAGAGAGGGAGAGAAACATCGATGTGAGAGAGAAACCCCACATCGACGATGGGCAACCGTTTGTGTCTGGGAGGACACGCCAACCAACTGAGCCGCCCGGCCGAGGCACTGGAGTCCCACTCTTAAAGGAGAGAGTAGCTCCTGTCGGCCGGGGGTCCCTTATCCACATCACGTGTGTCCCGACTCTGTGCCTTTTCCCGCTGGTGCCCCACTACCGTGCCTTCCCAGCTGCCTCCCTGCCAGGCCAACACCCCTTGTCCTTCGGGTCCCAGCCCACGGTGTTCTTCCCCGGCTCTGACTTCATCGTGCCTGCGCTGTCTGGACTCGGCAGATTCTCCCAGCGCCGTCCTGTTGCTCTCCGCGGGACTGCACAGGGTCCAGCAGCTGAGGCCGGGCCTGCTTTGTGCTGCCTCGGGCAGAGAGGACTCTCTCCTACCCTCTGCCTTCGCCCTGCCTGCCTCTCTCCTGCGCCTCGAGGGTGTCGATCTGAGCTGCCTGCATGTGGCTGGTGCAGGCCTGAGACTTGAGGATAAGAAACTGGGTCAAGGAAAAGTACTGCCTGACTTTGCGCGGTATCCAAAGTGTATATTCCACATGCTGTCATTGCTGAGCCAACTGTCCCCCCACCCAGGGACTGTGAGGCCCCAGGAAATGGGGACCATGGGACAGGGGGTTGAAGCGAGGGGTGGCTCTGCAGGGAGAGGGTGCCTAGTGGGGACGAGGGGGAGGTGCAGAGTGTTCCAGAGAGGAGGAAAGAGCGGAGCTGACCACCGTCTGGACTCTGTCCTAAGCTGGCCAACAGCTACAATTCCGCTGATCGGAGCGAGTTCTCCTGAGTGCCTGCCACAGGTCTGGGGCTCGGGTGAGGCAGGCAAGGCACCCAGGGGTGGAGGTGAAGGAGGCTCCCTCTCAGGTGTTGACCCTGTTCTTACACGAGTCTCAGCATCAGGCCTCCCTCCATTGTGTGCCCTGGGCGCCTTGCTTGCCTCGCTCTCGCCTTGGCCCTGGCCCTGGCCTGCTGTGTGCCCGGCCTGCACTGGGCGGTGGGCGGCAGCTTCCTGTCCCTTCCCCAGATGCCCCCCAGGGACACGGCGCTACCCTCTCACCCCGCTCCCTTGCCCGTCTCTCTCTAGTCTTTTTTCTTTTTGATGTTTGTACTTTCTGGAAACGTTTGCCTCTCAGAGGATCTGGCTTCTTCTCTGTGACTTACTCAGGCCCCTTCACTTCCCACCTGATACTCTTTCACCCAGTAATTCTCTAATGTAGCTCCTAACCCTGTGTGTAGGGACCCCCCATCGCCACCACGCACGCGCACACACACACACACTCACACAAGTGATGGATTCATCATGTAATACTATTAACTAATTATTAACACTCACTAAGGGCTCACGGACCAGGCTCTGATCTAAGTAGACAATTCTGAATGAGGATTATTTTATGTAATCTTCACAATAGTGCTGTTACACAGATGCACTCACCCTCATTCAACAGGTCATCAGAGAGGGTGAGTGCCTTGTGTGAGGTCCCGGAGCTGGTAAGACTCTTGTACGAGATGCTTGATTCGTCTCCAAATTCCCAGGACCTAGCACGGTGCCTGACGTTAATTGTTGACTGAGCGGAGGCTTGCAAAGGGAGCCCCAAACTTTCTCTCTCGCCCTCATGGAACACCCCTTAAACACCCGTTCAGCTTTGTGTCGGGAGGGAGGGGATGTTACTAAAGAATTATTCGGTATGATTTTGCAGAGAAATATGTTAGTCCTCAAGGAACTTCCAGAGCAGCAAAAGAGACAAACAGGAAAAATGTGTAAGAGAGTGTAAAATACGTTCATAATTGTGTGGCATAGACTCAACCTTGTAGGTTCCGGAGGAGACAGTGATCAGGGCGCTCAGTAGGCAGGCGACGTCACAGCGTGGGGCCTGAGCGTCAGAGCAGAGCTGGGAGGCTGGCGTGTGCTCTTCCCCGTTGACCAAATACTGACCAAAGAGGAGCTGGAAGGGGCCCCTCACCACTGGGCAGCCTGGGGTACCCTCTTGGGTGGCTCTGGCCCCCAGGGGAGCTTGGGCAGGCAGGGGAGGTCTGGAACGTGGGCCTGGGGGCAGGACTGTTTGGAGGTTGGCCTGGTGGCCGGAGGGCAGGCTCCTCGCTGGTGCAGAGGCTGGGGGTGGCGAGGTGGTCCCACAGCTGTGCCTGGAGCTTGTTGGGTCTCTGTCTGGACCCCTCCTGTGGCCGAGTGTTCCGTGTGCCCCTGCCCCTGCCGGCACACTGCCGGCATGGGACTCCCCCTGGGCCCTGCCCCAGGCACTTCTCAGCCAGAGGCCTCTGCAGAACCGTGGACGTGGACGGCCTCAGAACCCCGTGGATTCTGTCTGCTTAGCGGCTCCCTGGGCCCCAGGCCTGGGGACTCTCCAGGAGGCCAGCCCACCCCAGTGCCTGCCGCTGCCCTGCCAGTCCTTCCTCTCTGGGGGTGGAGAGCATGGGGGGCCAGCCTGAGGAACGCCCCCACTGCCCTCCTCCCTCAGGACGCTCTCACCGGCAGCCTCCTTTCTGTTTCTCCAGATGAGGGGCCCCGCAGGTGACTCTGGGATGAACTCACCCTCCCCCCAGGTTCTCCTGGGGGAGTGTTAGCATTGAGTGCTTCCCGGGGAGATATGTGAGTCACTAGCGAGTGAGTCAGGAGCCAGGACAGGCGAGGGGGACCAGGAAGCTGGTCATTATGCCTGTTCATCCCTCTGGAAAGGCTTCCCAGCTGGCAGGCGTTTCCGCGTCGATCTGAGTGGGAAGGTCCCAGCACCTTCTCCTAGAGGTCTCTCAGGAGAGAGACCACCCGCCCAGCTCCATCTGTTGACCTGGGAGGGTGGAGGGCTGTGGGGGAGGGGAGAGCAAGCCGGGCCTAGCACTCGCAGACACCAGGTGCCCTGGCTGGGTCCCCTGCTCCTCAGACCACAGGGCCTGCCTCCCTCCTAGATGGCTTTGAGGGACCACAAGGGTGGCACTGCTTCTTCGAACTGATGCCACATCATCTGCCGCCTGCCCCTACCTCGCTGAGCCCCAGCTGCACGGACCACCTTGCCAGCCACAGAGTGGGCCACACACTCGCACCCCGGGGTGGCTGCAGGCGCTGGTCCGCTTCCGGGGCTTCCTCCCAGGATCCACCTGCTCCCGTCTTCCCCGGCCACTTCGAGTCCTGCCGCAACGCCACCTTCTCAGGAAGAAGAGCACCCACATGGAACAGCACCCCTCACCCACCCCGAACGCCTGCCCCCTTGCCTCCCTTTGCGTTTTTCCGCAGCCTCTTCCACCGTCTGACCCGTTACATATTGTGTGGCCTATCGCCTTATTGCCGATGCATCTGTCTCCCTCCGCCAGAAGTTGCCAGGGGACAGGGCTTTCTTATGGTGTTCACTGTTGCACCCCAGCACCCGCCTGACCTGGCTGTGTGACAACTACAGAATCGTGCGACACAAACAAATATTTTATATATACACATATGTAAAATGAAAATAGCATAAATGGATAAAGGAAAGTTATCCCCAGTCAGCTGTAAGGTATAATGATTTGCTGATTAATAATGATTTGCTGATTAATAATACGAGGGTGTTTATACATTTTATTTCACAAGCTTAATGTGAAAGAAATGGCTCATTGCCTCTTTTTCTTTTGATTAAGAGAAAGACTAAACCTCACCCACCAGCCCGTGGGAAAATTAGGCTGTCGTTATGGAAAGACCTTCCCTCTGTCCTCCCTCCCTCAGGGTCATGTGAAGGTCAGGGAGGCTTCTGAGCAACAAAGACTGCAGGGACTTCCCAGGCTGCCCCAAGCTCAGCCGACCTGCCTTGTGTGCCCCGGAGGCCTCCGGAGCCCTGGGTCCAGCCCCCTGAGGCCCCTGAGCGGCGATCTTTTGGGATCTCGCTGTCCATTTACAGGCAGGACTAGGGGAAGAGCCCCAAGCCACCAGAGCAGAGGGGGCTTCCTGGGCCGAGGAGCTTTCTGCCCAGCCGTGGCCCCACCACCTGCACCCCGCCCTCCCCGGGCACGAAGGTCCTCCCGCTTCCCCGTGGGGCGGCCTGGCGCCATTTCTGTCCGTCCCCACACCCCACAGGGCCCTAAAATGAGAAGGGAACACAGCCAAGCTCCCTTCTTGGAATGGGAGAGGGAAAGTCCACAGGAATAATGCAATAGATTATCCTCCCAGGAAAGTTAAGTACTGATGTCTTGTGAATGCTTTTCTTCTTTCATTATTGTTTCAAATACAGCCAATTCAAGGCTATCCTGGTAATAATAGTAGCTCATTTCTGTGTCTATTATGCATTTCTAGTATGTGCTCTGTGGAGTGGCAGGAAAGGGGTGGTCACAGGCCGCGCTCCGGTGAAGGCACGCACCTGGGCTTCCTCTGTGGGCGTCCTTGAAGACGGCCAGCACGTCTGTTGTGCCGGAGGCAGAAGGCTAAGGGCCGCTGGCCCAGCCCCCAGCCCAGCCCCCAGGCTGGAAGACCCCAAGGCACGCTGTGTGCAGCTGACCCCTGGGAGAGGAGCCTGACCTTCGGTGGCCAGAGAGCTGAACTGGGAGTCAGGCCTGGAGTGTGCTGAGACGTCACTTCCCACTGTCTGCCTCAGTTTCCTCAGCTGTGATGGGTGAGGCCCACTCTGTCTCCCTCTTCAGACTGAGGTCGGGGTCAAACAAGATGATATAAGCAGGGGCCCTGCCAGGGCGGGTCGCAGGCCTGCAGTGTGTTTTAAGTTTGAACGATCAGCATTTAACATTTGGGGTGTCCAAAGCTGGGATTTCCAGCGTCTCTTGGAAGACCGAGCAGAGTGGCATTTTGTGGTAGGGCCTGTCTGTCCCCACCGCACTGAGGCCGAAGGGGGCTGGCGCTCAGGGCACCTACCCGGCGGGGAGGACACACACCCTCCCCTCTTCCACTCCCCTCGTCCCCCTCTGAGCCCCAGAGGCCCGACTTCGCTCCCTGGAGGAAGTGGAGCGTTTGTGGCAGCATGAAGTATTAATATACGGTTGGATTTTAGCCAGGCTGTGTTACGGTCTTAATGGTCCAAGGAGAGCGGAGATGAGGAGTTGTTCAGGGAAGGGGCGGGCATCATGGGACCACCCCCAGCTTCCTGAGGGGTGCAGGTGAGTAGACTTGCTTCTGGGGAGTCAGGATTCCACTCCCTCTGGTCGAAGGTGAAGACCCACCGGCTTTCCCTCTTCCCCCGTGTGGTCGCAAGCGCCCTTCCACCCCTGTCTCCGAGCTCCTGCCCTCACTTATTCCTTTGCTGTCACTTCAGCGAAGTCTGGGGAGGGAGCAGAGATGACCGCGTGGTTTGAGCCCATGGCCTTACACCGGAGGAGTGTCCTTCTGTGACCCCAAACCAGATTTCATTAAGAGCTTTGTGGAGTGTCTGGCCTCTGAGGACAGTGCTGGCCATCCCTCGAGGACTCTTCTGGTGTAAGTCTCTAGAGGCGGGAACAGGGGGGCTGGGGGGGACACGCCACCTGGGAGGTAGGCGGGCACTGTGGCCTTGGCCCGGCTAAGCCTCGGTTTCCCTGTGTGAACACTGTGCAGCCTTGGCTGTGCCGAGAAAGGGGCGATGAGGGGGTGGACAGAGACGAGCAGAGAACGCCGTGAAGGTTTATCATCATCATCCTCATGGTTGGACTTCACCCCGGGCTCCGCTGAGTGCGTGATCAAGGCCATGTGTCACTTGGCACAGGACAGTGTGTGGCTCTCTGGTAGACAGACAGGCTTAACCCAGCACATGAGCGCGAGTACCGACTGCCTCGTTCTCTTGCCAGAGGCCTCCAGTTTGGTTGGCAGAGTGGCGACCAGCTGGCCAATTGGACGGGACTCTTAAATGTCACGGACGTCCCAGAGTCACCCAGCGGCAGTGACTCCAGCTCCAGGTACAGACCCGGGTGAATAACCAGGGAGGGGGAAGCCTGCCCTGGGGTGACCCTGAGCCCCCGCCCCGTGGCCCCGCCCCAGAGCTGTCCTCTGGGGAGAAGCCTGCTGGGCACAGTGGCTCAAAGCTCATTGCATTTGGGATCCTGCCTTGTCTCCTTCGGCAGGTGGGGTGAGGGCTAGGACCAGCCACAACTGAGTAGGGACTCACTGGCCTGCCCCTCTGTTGGGAGGTGGGCTGGGGGGGAGCCTGGGCCTCAAGCCTCCATTTGAAGTTGGAGCATCAGCTTTGTACATGCTGTAAGGATTTTGGACACCAACCTGCTTGTGTGGATAGGTGTGCGTGGGAGTGGCATCAGGGGTGGGTGTCAGCGTGGGCTCCCTCCCCTCTGAAATCCCACTGTGACGGCAGTTCCTTTCCTCCCAAGACAGGGCTGACCTTGGCTGGGGAAGTCCCGTTTCCATCCAGAGGGCTCTGAGATCTGGCATTCACACCATCCCGTGGTTATTTCTTCTCGATCTGCTGTCATGTGTGGGAGCTAAAACCAGTGATCCAGGGCACTCTGCATACCCAGCAGTGGGAGTTCAGTAATTATTCGTTGAATGATTGAAAATGGAATATTCTCAGGCATAACGCACTCATTGCAGGGAGGGCATTGTGGGGACCTTTTCTGACAAGGCAGGATGCTGTCTGTGCTTGGAGCTGGGTGTGGACAGCACCCACCGGCAAAGGGTTTCCGGGGGCTGGTTAAATTGCTTTGTTTCTTCATTTTTGCATTTCTAAGTACAAGCTAACTTTCAATCTGTTTCCCTGAGAAAGAGGCCTGAGTGTTTTTGCTGTTATTATTGACCCCAAAACGTTAAACTGGACTTGCAGAGAAATAGTATGTTTTTCAGGGACCCTCAATACTAATGATTGTGTCCAATGCTTTGGAAAAGATACGGCTCCAATGTCAAAAATCAGTGGCGGGGGGGGGGAGGGTTGTCCACACACAAGCCTTAGGCTGTTCAGGCGGCTACAGGCCGTGAACTGGCACCAGGGCCTTATCCTGGCCTTTTAAGAGCTCAGTCCCTTCCACAAGGGTGTGCTGGAGGCCCTGGCCACCCTCCTGGCCTCTGGGTGTCACCTGGGGAGAGTGAGGGGTCCAGAGTTCTCCCTTCCAGATGTTGAGCCTTCAATGTCGGCCCTTCTGTGTGCGACCCACCCACCCAGACGGGGGCAGTCTAGACAAGTGAGCCAGCCTCGGCCTCCCCGGGAAGGGCTCAGTGAAGAGCTCATGGGGAGGTTTTGGCTAGAAAATGTTAATCAGCTGAGTAAGACGGGAAGGCTCCCGGGGGCCCTTCTGGCAGGTGTCCCTGGGTGGTGGTGAGAGCACGGCCCAAGGACCCCTTCTAACTCTCCCGGCCTCGGCCAGCAGCGTTTCTCTGTCCTCCCGCTCTCTGCACGCTGTCTGTAATTTCTCCGCCTCTCTCGCCCCACCTGTTCTCTCCCTTTCTTTCTGCCACCCTCTCTTGGTCCACTTGTCTTTCTCCGTCCCTGTTTCCTGCGTCCCTCCTCCACTTCCTGTCTTTCCACAGCCGGCCTCACGCCCTCCCCTTACTGTCTCCTCCTGTCTCCGTGGCTGGGTCAGCCTCCCCTCCTCGTCAGCTGGGGTCCCTCAGGGTCAGAGACCGCTGGCAGTGTCAGTCTGCTTTTGGAATTAAGGGCCCCTTTATTCAACGTTGTCACCAGCTGAGCTGATTTCCTTCTGGAGGGCCACCATTTGACCAAGGACTTCCTAAGAGATGTGATGACCCCATGTCCCAAGTTTTTCCAATTTCAGATCCCCATTTTTGGCTGAGAAACCATAACATGTGGGAAACAATGATGAGAGTAATTATAACTGACCTGTATGTGCGGGATTTTTTTTTTTACCTCAAAGTAGGAGCAGCTTCTGCCTTCTTCAAAATGGGCAGGTCCGCTCCTGCAGCAGATTTGCAGGGCTCAGGGGGCTGCGTGGTTGGGACGCAGCTGGGGGGCATGGGAAGTGCTCCTCAGAGTGAAGAACGTCATCCCCCCACATACCTCCCCTGCCTGTGGGTGGGGGTATCGTTCACCTGCTGAATAATTCAGCGCGTGCCATGCTTTGCTACATATAGTTGTGTGGTGTGTTGAAGTGTGGTGCAGCCTGTTATCACTCGTTATTAACAGAGTTGGAAGGGAAATCAGGGGTACCATGTATATAACCAGAGGGCAAAGAGGGGCAGAAAAGCAAATGACTCGTGAGTCGTATACTCAACCAGGAGCCACAAGTAGAGGGAGCAGGCCCAAACGATCCGTCTGGAGCATGCCCAGCAGGACCACAAAGAACATGCAGGCCAGACAGGGCTGCTGAAGGCTGTGGCCAGCTGTCCTCACTGGGCCGAGCCAAAGGGAGACCAGGCCAGAATGGAAAGTGAGTGAGTTATAAAACATACATGGACATAGAGCTTTATTCATTTCAAGCCTGGTGTAAAAGTGGTGTCCAATAAGCGTCTTAGGGGAGCTGCTTTAATGAGCAGATAGGAATAATTTTCCAGCAGCAAATGCTTCGATGTAAGTGGGCGCTTTGAAGCAGCAGGAAGTTCTTTCACGGTTCTTCTCATGTTCGAATTATGTGTTAATGTTTCCGTTTCCCCGACTAGACAGTGACTGTGCCTCTCCGTCTTCGAGTTCTCAGCCCCCAGTATGGCACCTGCGTGGAGTAGGTGCTCAATAAATGTTACTTGAATAAAAGAAGGAATTAGGCAGGAACATAATAAAAGCTATTGGTAAGAAAGCAAACTTCAATGTCACACTCCCTGAATTCTCCCTTAGAGATTTATTCCTTCGGATTAAACCTTGTCCTCTGTCTTTGAAAATTAATCCCCAGAAAGAGAATACACTTTGGAATCATAAGCCCACTCACAGTTTGGGATGATCAGAGGATTTTCTCCTGAGAAGAGCAGGTAGTAGGGTGGTCTGAGAGTCCTGCGTGGCAGGGTGGGAAAAGGGGGACTGGGGTGGGGGAGGGGCTGTCGCAGGAGGAGAGGGAAGGCATGAAAGCAGATTATGTACGTCTGCAATAACTGACTAAGAAAGCCTCCCCTGCACTCCACACAGAGCTTCACGGTTCTGGGAAAGGTAGGTGGGGAGGGCGAGGAGCAGGGAGGGAGAGCATCGTCCTCCCTGGCAGCTGAATGCCTTGACCCTTCTGGCTTGGCCAGTTGCCTGCCCAGTGATCCATCACTCAGTGGTCAAGGACAGCAGTGCCCTTCGTGGCCTTGGTCCCGCAGGGTGGGCAGTGTTGTACCCACTGCCCCAGGACATCCCAGGGAAAGGGTCCCTGGTCACGGGGTGAGGGCAGCTAAGGCGGGAGCCCCCAGGCTCTGATCTCGGCCTGGCTTGCAGCCACAGCATGAAGGGCTTCACTCAGCTTCTGCCAGCTGCACCCTGCTCCACATCCAAGCCCTTGTCCTCCCGCCATTACCTACTCCCTCCCCACCACCTCCCTGAAGCCTTCCCTGATAGCCCTTTTAACTCTGTGTTCTGGGAGATGTGTCTGCACAGAGGGCTATTTCTGTCATTAAGCCCACAGAGAACTCTTCGGCCAGTGCACATGAAGTCTCCTCCTGCCCTGGAGGTCTGAGCTGGACCCCTGTGCAAGTAGGATCTTGTGGACCCTCTAACTTCAGACACAGCCCACAGGCGGCCTGGCTGGCCGGCCCAGCTGGCCCCTTCTCCCAGACTCTGCACTGCCTTGGTCCTCCTGGTCTGGGACAAGATGGCAGGAGGTGGTGTGCAGAGGTGACTCAGGGGATACTTCTCTCTGAGTTCTGGGGCAGCGATGGCCAGGCTGCTGCCCACCTAAGCTGCCTGCTCTCAGGACAGCACTCCCCCCATGCGGCTGCGCTTCCAGTTGGGGTGCGGGGGCTTCCGAGGGGGAGGGTGGCACCAGCCACAGGAGAACAGAGCAAGCCGCCGGCTGCGTGTCTGGGGCCTGGACCAGAGCCCTGCTCTCTGGGGCGAGCCCATGCATGTGTCTGGCGTGCACTGCACAGTCTGGGGCTTGGAACTGTGGTGCTTCAGAGCAGGAAGGAACCTGGTGTAATTCAGTTCAGCACTTTATTACGCTGTATTGAATTGTTCCCTAATTGTTTCAAGACAGTGTATAATTAGGTAATAAATTGTGTGGGCCAGATGGCGAGCGCTCCAGAGCTCCGTGCAGAAATCAGAGGCGCTTCCGTGGAGGGGTGGGGCTTGGCTCGGACCTCCGCAGGCATCGCTGCTGGGGGCTGTGTGCCAGGCCTCCTGCTGCATTTGTGCCTCGTCCTCAAACCTTTGCTTTGGCTACTGTGATGGCCCCATTTACAGATGAGGAAACTGTCCTGCCCCTTCCAGGTGGCAGGTGGGTGAGCTGGAACACACCCCATCTAGGGTGACTTTGGGGTCCCAGCACTAACGGGCCATGCTGGACGGAGGGACTCTTCCTTCTGGGCTGCGGACATGTCCCCCAGGGCTGTGGTGGGTCCCCTCAGCGCTCCTCCCCAAGTCCTCTCACCCTGCCTGGCCCCGCCCTCGGCCCCTGGCCGTTGGATTGTAGTGCAGTGGCCGTGTTGACTCCAGCAGGTGGTTATGCACATGTCCCCTTCCTATAACGGCTACTGTCATTAGCGCCACAGGCAAGAGGATCTGTAGGGTCTCTCACCTCCCCTCTCCTCTTCCCCACTTTTTGTCTTCCGTGTCACCCCTTCCCTGGTCCCTGTGCTTAGTATTTCCTGATTAGTATCCCTAAAAAACGCCTCCTTCCCCCTGCTCCTGGGAATTCTGCCTTTCAAAGAGGAGCCCTCGGCGGCAGGATGACCCCAAGGGAAAGAACTTTCCACAGAGGACTTGCCGATGTGATGAGAGGTGCTGGGCGCCAGGCGGCCGTGGGCCTGCATGCCCGCCTTGTGGGTGCAGGCTGGCTCAGCATAAGCCTTTCTGGTCAATTTTCACATCTGC